CTGAACCACACACAATGTTTAGAATTTGAATAATGGCTAGCCTTAGGTAAGAAACATTTAAAGCAAATAACTATTGTCTTCGGGAGTTCCCAGGTTTTATTTTTCCCTTCTTCATTTTATCATTTCCCCCTGGTGACAATACCCTTTTCCCATATCCTGTGATGCTTGCTATCTCATTTCCCAGTCAATAGTTTTCCTTTACAACATTATTCAATAAAAGTCATTCACTCTCAACATAAATTTAAGAAAATGAGTATTTGCATTTCAAGCATTTTGCTCTTTGGAGCGCAATTCTATCTGCTGAAGTTTTTCAGGCATCAGCAAATACATGCTATGGATGATGTGTGGGTGGAGGTTCTTTCTCTGCCTCAACTCCAACCCTAACATTGTGCCATAAGTTGGAGGGTCGAACTTAATGAGTTGTTCTAAGGCCATTTCAATCTTGAGGATTTTCTATTACACGAAGCAGAACAAAATTAAAACCATGTGTATTAAAAGCACAAATGAGAAAAGTAAATCTTAAAGTCCTTAAAAGAAATACAGTACCACTATGGCCTCCGGGCAGGTGCAGAGGGATTTGAAGTAGTGATTTAATCTCCCTCCCCCCCGCCCCCCCCATAAAGTCTAAAAGTCCTGAATAATAAGATTTTTCCTAATTTCTACTAAAATAAGTTTCCCACATTGTCCTTCTTAAAATTCGTTTGCCTGTTCTTGACTCTTCTCCACCAACTGTATTGTAGGATCACTTTGAGCTCCTAATCTGTGGGGATTGTTATTGGAATTGCATTGCATTTTGGAGCAACAGATGACATCTTTGTCATACTGGGTTTCCTACCTATGAACATAGAATGTATTGCCACTTATTAGGTCTTCCTAAATGTATTTCATTAAAGTGTTATGTTAGATTTATCATTAAAAACTCTATTTTTCTTAATTTCTACTAAAATAAGTTTCCCACATTGTCCTTAAAATTCGTTTGCCTGCTCTTGACTCTTCTCCACCAACTGTATTGTAGGATCACTTTGAGCTCCTAATCTGTGGGGATTGTTATTGGAATTGCATTGCATTTTGGGGCAACAGATGACATCTTTGTCATACTGGGTTTCCTACCTATGAACATAGAATGTATTGCCACTTATTAGGTCTTCCTAAATGTATTTCATTAAAGTGTTATGTTAGATTTATCATTAAAAACTCATTTTGACTCTTTCCACTCAAATGGGAGTATATTTTTCCCACTCATGTGAAAGCTTCATCTTGCTTTTGGCTTCCTTTCCCTTGTGATAAAAATATATATGTATAGCACTATTTTTTACTGTCTGAATAGTATTTAGTTATATGAATGTGTTATGTTTTATTTAAGAAAACTCCTCTTTGATAGAATTTTATGTTGTTTTGTTTTGTTTTGTTTTAAATTCTCACCGAAAGATATGTTTGTGGGCTGTTGTTGTTGTTGTTTTAAGTTGATTTTCAGAGAGAAAAGAAGGGAGAGAGAGAGAGACAGGGAGAAAGAAACATTGATCAGTTGCCTCTTGTATGCACTCTGATTAGGGATCAAACCCACAACCTAGGTATGTGCCCTGACCCGGAATTAAACCTACAACTTTTTGGTGTATGGGATGACACTCCAACCAACGGAGCCACCTGGCCAGGCTATGTTGTTCAGTATTTGTTGTAACCAAAAATGCTTTAGGAAACATCTTTATACATCATTGTGCCCTTGTGAGAATATTACTGTAGGGTAATTTTCATGAAGTGAAATTTCTGTTGAAAGAGTACATGTATTGCCCTGACCGGTTTGGCTCAGTGGATAGAGCGTCGGGCCACAGACTGAAAGGTCCCGGGTTTGATTCTGGTCGAGGGCTTGTACCTTGGGTGCAGGCTCAATCCCCAGTGGGGGGCATGCAGGAGGCAGCTGATCGATGTTTCTCACCGATGTTTCTAACTCTCTATCCTTCTCCCTTCCTCTCTGTAAAAAATCAATAAAAATCTATTCTTTTTTTAAAAAAGAGTACATGTATTTAAAGTGTGCATTAAAATGCCACATCTTTGTATAAGTAAATACCACAAAGTGGATGGCTTAGAACAAGTGAAATTTACTATGTCGTGGCTCTGGAAGACAGAAAGTTGAGATGAAGATGTTGACAGATTGGTTCCTTCTGAGGCTATGGGGAGAATCTGTTCATGCCTCTCCCCCAGCTTCTGGTGTTGCCAGAAATCCATGGTGTGCTTTGGCATGTAGATGCATCTTTACTTTCTTGTTCAATGTGTCCAAATAGCCCCTTTTTATAAAGACACGGGTCATATCAGATTAGAGCCCATCTTAATGACCTCATTTTAATCTGATGACCTCTGTAGAGACCCTATTTCCAAATGAAGCTCTATTTGGAGGTTGTAGGGATTAGGGCTCTAACATATCTTTCTGGGGAGACACAATTCAATCTGTAACACTCCAATATTCATTTGATTGCCTTTCTAAGTCCCAGTCACAATCTATTCTGACCAATGCTCACTTGCTAATCTTCTTGAAGCAATGAGTTTCATTATAACACAGGATATGTTTTTGTAACATAGGATATTGCATAGACAATTTTTCATTTCACATTGCAATTATTTATCTTAATATAAATTGAGACTACATGTTAGGTGCTGCTCAAAATAATTATTTATACATTTTTATTTTGTGTGTGTGTATGTGTAGGCCAGCCATCAGTGAGGTTGTATCCTGTGGGAACATCCTAGTACGTGGCAATTACTGGATCTAACAGCATCTATTCTTCAGATAGATCAAAACACTTCAACCTCCCACCCAGTGCCTCCGTTTCCTGCACAATCACTGTGGGGTTAATAATACCCAACAGTCTCCCCAAGATCACAGAACTGCTGTGGTGAGTCAGGAACAATAATCACCTGAATGCTCACTAAAATTAAGGTATATGCAAGGAGTGTGTTTGTGTCAGTAGCTTCTCATCCTCACTGTTGTTTGTTCTGGTGCAGTTGGGTTGTCCTCTTAATACAGCGGTTCTCAACCTGTGGGTCGCGACCCCTTTGGCGGTCGAACGACCCTTTCACAGGGGTCGCCTAAGACCATCCTGCATATCAGATATTTACATTACGATTCATAACAGTAGCAACATTACAGTTATGAAGTAGCAACGAAAATAATTTTATGGTTGGGTCACAACATGAGGAACTGTATTTAAAGGGCCAGAAGGTTGAGAACCACTAACTTTAAGTGAGAGGTGTGTGTGTGTGTGTGAGAGAGAGAGAGAGAGAGAGAGAGAGAGAGAGAGAGAGAACATTAAATATTTATATCTGGTCATTACTGTTGGTCATCAATATGATAGTTATGAGCAAATTATGTGGCTTTAGTGCTATAGCTCATCAAAGATGTGGCCATAGACCAGGTCCTTGTATTTAAAGGGAATAGATAACTCCTAGGGGATTTTGTAAGAATTAGAGATAATAGATGTCTGGCTTGGTGCCTGGGTGCTATTATTTTTTCCCCTGGAGTGGGAAGTGGCAATTCATCCCATTTCTTTGGCTCTTACTTTATGTTCATTAAGCAACTTTCTTGACATGTAATTTGCTCCTCTGAGGCAATCATTCCAGGTGAGTGTTCTGAATGACCAACGTAAATTATCCTCTAAGATACATTTCCCATGGTAGATTGATAAATCAATGAACATATCAGTGTTCTGGTTGGCAAATGAGGCTCCTGCTAATTTGGCTACAGGAGTAACTTCCCCACATAAGACCAATTCCAAGTGAACAGGTTCAGTCATGTTTTAGGATTCCTATTTTTGAGGACTTGAGTGCTAACACCTACCAGGTATTGCCTACCCCTGAGGATGAGCCTGAGCAGGAGCTGGCTTTACTCTAGAGCAGTGGTTCTCAACCTTCCTAATGCCGCGACCCTTTAATACAGAAATGGCCAGGTTGAGAACCACTGTCTTAATAGATATTTGGTTAACTGCAGAATCCGCTGCCCTGTGGACAGCTTTTGGTAAACTTTTGGTGGCTTTTCATCACGGTATGGACCTCTCTACATTGCTGCCAAAGCTTTCATATGTTGAGACTGATCGCACTTGGCTACTTAGCCTTCTTTCTTTAGCGCCTAGAAGAAGGGGCAGAGGGGTTTGAGTCCGTTTGCGTTAGTGGGCCAGGGGAAGAAATGAGGGAGATAGAGAGGAGGCCAAAGCTCTGAGAGCGGAACTCAGACATGGGTACTGCCTTCTTCCCCGCTCCACCCACCCACGCAGTGCCCAGGTGTGGTTCATCTCAGAAGCCCCTGGGAGCCCACCGCGCAGTGCTGGCCCATCCACTCATGCTCTGCCCTCCTTAAGCCTCTCCGAGGGCTCAAGAAGGGCCCGTGGGTACTCTGAAGTCTTAGAAGTCCTGTGTGTTGTCTTCCCAGACACACAAGGCCGTGGGGAGAGGTGTGGGCTTGCCCCTCAGCTCCGGAGACCCGCTCCGCGCACCTGATCAATCCCAGCTCCTCCTCTGCACAGCGCAGCCCCTCGCCGGGCCCCGCCCCTCCTCGGGTGAGCCCCGTGCAGCT